TATACAATGGTGTGTTTCTTGCATTGTCCACTGCAACTGGCAGTATGTGTCCCGAAAAAAACCTATACAATGTATGTCGAAATGTTGGACAATGCTATAAACTGGCTATTTTATAATATAATATATTTATAATATATACTATTATATATTATTTTATATATTAACCGCACCCCCGACTAACTTTTTTATTATTGTTGACAGGTAAATCTTAAGATCAAAGAGAGAATTCGAGAGATCAATAAAATAAATTTATAAGATAATTGTCATGGTTTTCTGATTTTATTTATAACCTATCAGGTCCCAAAAATATCTAATAAGTAAAATTAAAAGTATTAGTAATTGCAAAAAAAAAATCATTTTTCCTACAACTACTAACTGCAGTTAGTGTTGTCCAAATGCAAGACCAAGACTTGTCTTGGTCTTGCGCACTCAGTCTTAGCCTTGGTATTGGTCTTGCAGTTAAGGATTAGTTGTTTTTTTTTTTTTTTGTTTTTTTTTGTTATACAGGGTTTTTCAGAGTTAGGTGGCCAAACTGCGAAAATATACTAAGGACCTCAAAATAAGAAAAAAAATTTCTTCTGAAGGTATGTCCGCTTTGTTTAGGAGATATTCACACCTAAAAGTCCTGGTTGTTATGAATTATTTACGTTATTTGAAATAAATAAAACTTATTTATTTGTTTTAACTACTTTATTAAATAACATTCATATTGAAGTTGTTCAAAGTGATTTCCTTGAGCATTAAGACAGGCTCGGCAAATCCAGTGGTGTCAGGTCTGGAGAGCGTGCAGGCCAAGCCACTGGTCCTGCACAGCCAATTTATTGATTTACATATGGGATATGATTGAATAAGTCCGGTCAATGGCCTTAATACCTTACGAAGTAGGATAATTGAATCTTGTGAAACAATAACACATATCCATTGCCGTTCTGCCACTGCTGCTGTTGAAGAAAGATGCCGAGCCTGTCTTAATGCTCAAGGAAATCACTTTGAACAACATTTAATATGAATTTAATGTTAAAATTTAATTATTAAAGTAGTTAGAACAAATAAATAAGTTTTATTTACTTCATATAACGTAAATAATTCATAACAACGAAAATCTTCAGGTGTGAATATCTCCTAAACAAAGCGTTTGCGGACATACCTTCAGAGGAATTTTTTTCTTGTTTTGAGGTCCTTAGTTCATTTTTGTAGTTTGACCACCTAATCCTGAAACAACCTGTATACCATAGATTACTTAAACGTTATTTCATATAAGTAGTTTTTTTCTTTCACAAACTGTTAGTTAGAAATAAATACTTCGAAAATTAAACCCTGGTTCCGGTTCTGATATCAAGATAAAATATTGTATCCTTCATGTTTCTTTTTTAAAGAAATCTTTGTAAAATATTATCTATTTATCGGTATTATTTCATGATTTTAGTTAATATAAAATTTTTAATGAAAAAGTAAAATCTAATTAAATTCTTAGAAGAAACAATGGGAATGGATTTGATTGTTTGCTATGGGAGAAAACACATTGATAACCTTATAATTATCTAATAATTAGATATGGTATGGTACACTAGCGGTTTTAGTCTGTTAATCAATGTTAGCTGTTGGTAGTTAAATTAGCAAATAGCAATATAATTAAACATAAAGGTATGCTTAAAGGCCAAACTATTCGCCAGCGTTGCGGTTGGCAAACTTTAGGAACTAATTAGCGAATTTCATCTCTAGAAGGCGATCGTAAAAGTTTATTAGAGCACTAATTATAATACCTATATATAATTATATATTTTTTTCAGAGCAAGATCTATACATTTCAGTGCCCCCTGAGTCCGAAAAAAACACATTTTCAGCCATTGGTCTGTCTGTCTGTGCCAAGATTATCTCGGGAACCAGTGGACCGATTTTGTTGCTCCTTTTTTTATTTTTTAGAGTTTTGACTACTGATGGCTGTGACACAAATTGGGTGCTCCATGCGCAATAGTTGATAAGCAATAAATGAAAAACATATTTTTCTCTAGACTGTAGCGCTCAAACGGCTCTAACGATTTTGATGAAACTTTCTTATATTTTTTTAATTTACGTCTTTTCAATTTTTTTACATGTACTGAATTCCCGAGAAAATTTAGGAAAAAATGTAAAACAGAAAAGAAAAATGTTTCTTGGAGAGCCTAACTCACTAAGTATTCTACGGTAAAATTTATATACTAACTTTTGAAAGGTGATTAAATTACCAATAGAACAAACAAAAAATCATCGTAATCAAACCAGTATTGGCGATGATACAGCGTATTCTATTTTCTACACATGTTTTAATTTATTACTTTCCTACCTGTACTAAGTAAGGAAAGTATTGGGATCTGACAAATTTTCGACATGCGGTTTTCGACGGATCTATACGTTTTAAAGCTTATTTCGTATGTAAGAATTTGTGTCTAAGCGGTGAATGAGAGAAAAGGAAAAGAAAAGTAAGAAAATCTGTTGCCGGCATTACACAAGTTTTCTCTCGTCTTTTAACTGAAATTATTATTTGACAAAATTGGGAAGTAAAAAAAGTTTTTGATTAGCAATATTATAGAGTATTGATTTTTTTACACTGATCATCCACAAGCCGGTTTACATTGCTTTAGTGTATCTAAGGAATCATACTTAAATCTTTTCTTTGATCTATTTTTGAGGAAAATAAATCTAATTTTATTTTATTTTTTGGTTCTTAATGGACATATTTAAAGATATAAAAACTTTTCTGAAATAGGTAGGAAAGTGTTGAATGGACACACGTTTAATTTAATGGACATATTTAAAGATATAAAAACTTTTCTGAAATAGGCAGAAAAGTCGTGTGAGCGGACACACCTGATTTTTTTTAATAAGAAGGAATTACTCAGAAATTGCTCAAGATGATTAAATTCTAAGTACACCTTCGCAAAATATACGATATAGAAATAGGTCAACGATAAAAAGGACTTTCAGGACATCTAATAACGCAAAGCCTACCATTATACAGAATTAATTCACGTATCGGTGTTACAGAACTACTACTTATGCGTACTTATACTGCTTGGATAAGTATACTGTAACTTCGGCCGTATTAGACTTCATGAAAGACATTTTTATCATTGACCTTAATAACTGATTTCTTTAAGAAAATGTTCTCTCCTTTATGGTGTAATCCACCACGAATCATATACTTTTTCTGTCATGCGCAAATTAAGTTTCTTTTTGAATATTTAATAGTTGACCGTCGAATTATTAAGGAAGGAGATGGTCAGGAGTGGGGGTCATAAATAGGCTAAATAGTGGCAAAAATATTTAATTAAAAGCCAACGTTTCAGAACAGAAAAGATATAAAAAGATATAGATAGATAGAAGATAGAAAAAGTAACTTTATTCTGGGACACAGTCCCTTGAGAATAACAATATAGAACAAAATTAAAATATTACATCTGGCCAAAATAAATCAATCAAAAAAAGAAATAATGTAAAAAAAATATAAGGTAAAAATTCTATATACAAAACAAACTAAACTATATACAAAACCATTAATACTATGACAAAACACTTAAAGCTATTTGCTCTTATAGACCAGTATACACTTTTCCTAAAAAAATAAAGAATTAAAAAATAAAAATGTGTCAAATTCTCTATTAAAATCCGCTCGAATGGTTAGCAAGTATCTGACTGTTTTTGTGATAGGAATTGGAATAGGAGGGATTTGAATGTGGATATGGAGGGGGAATGTCGAATTTTGATAGGGAGGGAATTCCAGAAATTGACAGAGTGAACAATAAAGGAATTTTGGAATGAGGCAGATCTGTGAGAGGGCATGTAAAGGTCAGAAGGTCGAGATCTTGTGGACAGGGAATGGACTGAGGATTTGAACTGGAGAAGGTTGTAGGCGTAAGAAGGACGATGGTTGTTGATGATTTGGTAGAGGAACGTACCTAGAAAATATTGTCTTCGGAAGGAGGGGAAGAGCCACCTTAACTCAGTGTAGTGGTGAGAGAAGAAGACCTGCAAAGTCGGGTCGAAACATTGGCTTTCAATAAAATAGTTTTGCCACTATTTAGTCTATTTATGATAACCACCCAGGACCATCTCCTTCCTTAAGTTTCTTTTTCTTCTTTTTTTTCCTACCTGAAAGAGGAGATAAGGTAATGAATGATAAGGTACCCAGAAGGGATTTTCATGATGTAAGTTGTGCCACCAAAAATTTTTAATTGATCACATTCTGACAAAGTTTTGAATTTTTAAGGGGTCATAATTCAACCAGGTTTTGAATCTTGGAGTCAAAAGTTTCAAATCAAAGAACAAAGAAAAAAACATGGACTAGACTAAAATAAGTGTGATTGCTTATAACCTACAATTTTTTAAATTCTACTTTCACTTGGATAGTTTTTTAAGAAGAGGAGAGCAATAAAATTTCTTGGGAGCAGAGGAGTTAACGCTCCATCGACTTTGTGGGCATGGGCACCCTTGCATTAGGACTATTTATTTCCTATGTAATTTAAACAATACAATACATATAGATGTTTTTCGAATTCAGAATTCGTGGAACTGAACTTAATTTATTTTTCTGTATAAATTTATTTTCCTGTCAATACATTTTTTTCAATAGTTTTTGTTAATTTGTTTTAGAGCCCACATCAACATTAATCTTCAAGAGTTTATCCAACATTTATGTTTAGATGAAATTTATTACATCCATGTAATTTGGTATATGAATTGTTGACTGAACCTACAATTTTTTCACAGTTACTTTTTTTTTTTGTTGAATAACTTATATTGTCACTCACTATGTGGAAAAGATAAAGTTTAAGTTATTAAAGTGTTATAAATCACTTAATTTGATCATTTAAAATTTTACTTCAAACATTTATTGACACCAATTCATATATTGGTTCAAATTTCATCATTCAAAATTAAAATATTGTACATTACAATCCCCCTCAAAAAAATAAATAAAATTTCAGTCTTAATGGATTAAACTTTTTCTTTTTATGTTTCAGAGGAAAGCCAAATCATTCCATTTTACAATGGTAAGACGCTGTTTATCACCGGAGCCAGCGGCTTCATGGGTAAAGTCCTACTGGAGAAGCTATTGTACACCTGTCCAAAAGTGGAGAAGATCTATGTACTCCTCCGGGCCAAGAGGGGTAAAGCAATGGAATCGAGGCTGGAAGAAATATTCAAATTGCCTGTAAGTGCTAGCATGTTTTAACTATAGCTTGAAACTTTCAAATAAAAGTTCTGTATTAACAGTTTTAAAAAAAAAAACTTTTAAAATAAAATTATGTGGGTAAATGGTTGACTGTCTGAATAATGAAGAGAAGAATAGTTAAGGTGATCAGTCAAATAAGAAGGCAAAAATAAATGATAATATTTATTTCGACATTAGCTGACGTTTCGACCTGAAGTTCAGGCCTTCATCAGGGCTAAGAAAAGAACCAGATGACAAGGTATGAGAAACATAAGTAGTGTAGTTAAAAAAATAAAATAAAATAATCTAAAATGAAGTTGTTAGAATAATGACAATAGTAAGAACTAAGAGATAAATAATAATAACCGTTTCAAAGTGTGGTATGATGAAGTAAACATAATAAAAAAAGGCGACATAAGTATTAAAATGGGAATCTTAGAATAAAATGTAAAACAGCATTTCTCTTTCTTATTTCAACCTTCTCAGTTTCTTTCCTCCTTCCTTTCATTCCTTTTCTCCGTTTTAACTCTTTGTTCTATTATACGTTGTCTGTACCTCTTGATAGACTTTATAATATCTCAATTTTATATCTAACTATTCTATTCGCAATATCTTAATTTTACTATTTGTTTTCATTTCTTATATAACTTCATATTCCTTTTTTTCTGTTTTACATTTTATTCTAAGATTCCCATTTTAATACTTATGTCCTCTTTTTTTATTACGTTTTCTTCATCATTCTACACTTTGTAGCAGTTATTATTATTTATCTCTTAGTTCTTACTATTCTCATTATTCTAACAGCTTCATTTTACTTTAATATTTTTTTTTTTTTTTACCTAAATTTACTTATGTTTCTCATACCTTGTTATCTGCTTCTTTTCTTAGCCCTGATGAAAGCCTGAACTTCAGGTTGAAACGTCGGCAAATGTCAAAATAAATATTATCATTTATTTTTGCTTTATTATTTGACTGATCACCCCAACTATTTTTAAAATAAAAGTTCTATGAACTTTTTGTCTAATGAAGTCCTAGTTTTATAATCAAACTTTCTTCTTCTTCTTCTTCTTTGTCTTCCTCTTATGCCATTAATTAGCGTCGAGGAGCCTCAACCAGTGCAGCCACTCTTCCCGGTCCCTGCTTAGTCGCTTCATCTCATTAAGGGTTTTGCCTCTTTTACATCCAATCCTTTGAATGTAATCCTGGAACGTGAGTCTTGGGCGTCCGCGTGGTCTCCTTCCTGTGGGTCGAGCCTCTAATATCCTTATAGGATTCAAATTCTCATTCATGCGGCAGACGTGTCCAAACCACTGGTCTTTCTAAAGTAGTTTTAAGTTCGGCAACTCCTAGCTGCTCTCTAATGCTTTCATTCCTAATGCGATCCCTTCTAGTTCTGCCAACAGATCTGCGAAGGAACCTCATTTCTGCTGCCGTTATGCGACTAGAGTGCCTGTCTAGCATTGTCCAGCTTTCTCCGCCGTAGGTGAGTGTAGGTAGGTAAACAGACTTATATACGTGCATTTTGGTCTTCTTGTCTACTTCGCGATGGCCGATAATGCTATTAGTAGTCTGGTAATACACCTGATTCGCCTTACATATTCTACTTGATATTTCGGCGTCTATCTTACCAGAACTACTAATTACGGTCCCCAGGTAGGTATATTCAGTCACCACCTCAAGTGTCTCGCCATTGCAGATCAGCTGAACATCTTCTCGCTCTTCCCTCGTCATAACCAGCACTTTACTCTTGGAGGTGTTAATTTGCATCCCTTTCCTGAGCAACTCTTCCTCCCACTCTACCAAAGCTTGTTGTAGTTTGGTCTTTGTGTCGGCTATTAGGACTATGTCATCCGCGTATAGAAGGCTTTGTATGAGGACAGTTCTCAGATTCCAATTGCGAGAGGAGTTAGACAGGGAGATAGCTTAAGTCCCCTTCTATTTATAAATGTAATGGATAATCAAACTTTAACTTTCATTAATTTAAGATCTTACAAAAAAAAAAAAAAAAAAAAAAAAAAAAAGTTGATATGTGAGAAAACAACTGTGAATGTACACAAATCACAGATTTAATTTCTCTGAATTTACTGATTTGTATATACATTTTTCTTTGAGTAGCTATACATTTTAGATATTTTTTAGAAATTATCATTTATTCACATTTTTTTTATACACTATATCATTTCATAATGATAAATTACATGTTTGTGATACCAGTAACCTTATACATGACATACTAGTAGTTTCAATGCTATTTAGAGAATTGAATTCCATTTTTTACAGTAGGAAAAACCTACATAAGATATGAATGAAAAACTAGATTACCATCATTAAAAGTACAAACGGAATATAATTTATATACAAAAGAAAACTATATATGTACAGATCCATACATACAAACCCACTCGCACAAAAAACACTCATATATATATATATATATATATATATATTATATATATATATATATATATATATAATTTATTAATAGGAGTGAGAGAGTTTATTGCTACTTCAACAATTACCATTTTTTTAGTTCCGATGAGTTGATTTTACATTATATTTAAATAAAAGTTGTATAAAAAATTTCTATGAAAAACTTTTATTTAAATGTCATTTAATATCAATTCATTAGGTCTAAAAAAGAACCAATACATAATTTTTTTGTATAATACCACTCATTATGTCTATTTTTTACTTATAAGTTCAGCATGTTGATATTGTTTAACGGAGTTCTCTCCTATTGTTGACAGCTCTTTAGCAGGATCCGATCAGAGTGCCCAGCTGTGTTCCAGAAAGTGATCCCTATTGCTGGAGACGTTTCTCTGCCAGAACTGGGATTGTCTGCCGTCAACGAGAAAGTGCTGATCGAAGAAGTAGACATTGTGGTTCACGGTGCTGCTTCCCTGAGGCTCGAAGCCAAGCTCAAAGAGAATATCAACATGAATACCGAAGGAACTCTTAGGGTGGTACAGCTCTGCAGGAAAATCAAGAACCTACAGGTTATCAAATAAATAAATAAAATATATTAGTTGATACTTGACTGTATGATAAATCAAGAAGATGGACTGGGAGTCAGTCAAAGATAACATCAAATCACTTTTAACTATTTATTCGATGCCAACGTTTTGAATTATATTTGTAAATCTTCATCAAAACTAATACAAAAGATACAGAAAAGGTGAAATTATCTTAAGAGTAAAAAAGATATTGTAAGGTTACGTTTCCGTTGAAAAGTAAACAAACCGTTTCTTAATCAAATTATATTTATTTCACTCAATTATTTTAAATTATTAAAACTAAAAATTATTTCTCTTGCTGGATAATAAACACACAATTATATAATATAAAAGCATACATTAATTGTACTTATAATATTTATGAATTTCCATTCAATTTTGTTCGGGTCTACTCCTGGCGCTTTCTAACTGTCACTGTTTATTTTTCACTCACCCTGGCCCGCAATGAATCTCCCTATGTATTATTGCTGCAGTCTCTAATTTAATCAACTTAGAATTATCTTCTCTTAATCTTCTATGTTCTTGTCTTCATCTAGACACTCATTCCTTGTTGGTTAACTGTCACTCACTGTTGGTCTCGATGATCTTTCCTTCCCGGCTGGTCACTTTCTCCTTTTAACATATCGCACTTGCTTCCCCTTCCTACTGTCTTTCTCCACCTCTTTGCCCATTTTTGACAGTAGTTCATGATGTCATTGCTTTCGTGGCGCTATTTAAAATCATAATGTAATATTTACATTACAATATATAGAATAACTTGGAAATAATAAGGATAATGATGGTAAGCAGACCTGGACAAACTGTATTTTAATCAATAATTTAAAAAAGATTATTTGAAATGCCATGTATTTTGTGCTTTTGAAATACAGTGTATTTTAACATTGGATTTAATTTGTTTTCAGAATAGTATTTTAATTACAAAAGACAAAATACTCATGAATGACAATTCACAACTAATTGCTTAAGAAATAGGTTCATTTTTTAAGAAAAGGGGTTTTGAAATTAGATGACAGTGGAAATAATTAAAAAGTAAATAAATTATCTTATTTAATTATCATTATTTTTGAACAATTTATAGTAAAAGATTTTTTTTTCAAATTATTTATTTTTCAATATTCTTTAAAACATTGCGTAAATTAAATCTTTATTTTTTTTTTCTATCGAACATCTAGCTGTCCACCTTCACTTATGATGAGAACCTGGAGTTCTGCCTCATTTTGTTAAGGCTAATTAATTTTATGACTCGATTTCACTGGAAGAGAATTCTAATGCATACTATCGACCTTAAAACACAAGGAACCTACCCTATTTAATAATTTACTTTGAGTTATCAAGATAAAAAATTAAATTTATTTTTTGTATAATAAAATATATTAATCGTGCGTTGATGGCTGACTGTAGAAGATAATTGAAGAGAAGGGTGGTTGGGGTGATCAGTCAAAATAAAAAATGGCAAAAATAAATAATAATATTTAATTTTAAATTTGTCGACTTTTCGGCCCGAAATTCAGACCTTCAGGGCTGAGAAAAAAACCAGATAACAATAGGTATGAGAAACATAAACAATGTAGGTAGATAAACTTAAAGTAAAATGAAGTAGATAAAGTAAAAATTAAAGTAAGATAAAGTAGGTAGAATAATAACAATAACAGAGAACTAATAAATAATAATAACAGCTACAAACTGCAGACTAATAAAGTAAACATAATCGAAATAAGGTAACATAAGAACTAAAAATGGTAATCTTAGAATAAAATGTAAAACATAAAAAATGAATATGAAGTTATATAAGGAAATAATAGATATTAATATAAAATTGAGTTATTGTAAAATCTATCAAAATATACTGACTATGTATAGAAGCATAAAAAGTTAAAATAATGTAAAAGAATAAATCAGCAAACGTATCAATATATACAAAATAGAGATGGAAATATGGAAAATAGAGTGATGGGAAGGAGGAAATATGGATAAAACTAAGATACTATAGATTATCTACTTAAAAAACACAGACATACCTATAATATACATTAGATATTTACTTGAAAATAAAAATTATTCTTCTATTATCTGAGAAACTAATCTAAACTTCATTAAACATCTATGTTAATTGTTCTTCTTTTTAAAATAAATAAAGCCAATATAAACATTTCGCTAGGCTTCAATACTGTGATAAGTCAGTGGATCGATATGAAATAAATGGGTTTAAAAATTTTGATTCGGACCCCAACATGTGGGTAGTTCCGAAGGATTTTCAAGCCCAAAAATGTACCATTTTTGAGATAATTCTAGGCAAAGGGTTAGTAGGCATACAACCTCATGTTAATTATAGTTTAAATAATTGTTTTGTAGGGGGTCTTGGTTATTTAAATCGGTGAATTTTAAATTTTTAAAACAAAACCCCGGCTCTCAATAAACTTTTATTTTTAGCGCTTTTACTGTTGTTGGAAATTCGGGAACCTAATTCTTTTGTGACAATGAGTGGCAAGAAATAATAAGAATATATATATGAAATGTTGGACGGAGCAAATACACTTTGAATGAAGTGACTCAGCTTGTTTGTTTTTCTTCAATTGTGAGGCATATAGGACAACTAAATAAAATGACTTTTCACTCCTGTATACCAAATATAATTTATTTTTAACAACTGTAATGAATGAATCTATTTAAGTCTTATAACTGTAGGCTTGATCTTCTTAATCTTCAGTGGACTGGACATCCTCCATGCCGTCATGTCATTCCATCGTCAAATCCTAGCCTTAAGTGACGTCTTTGTTGTTCCAGCATCTGTCTCCAGCTGCTGCCATCTGCCAGACCCCTTTCCAGGCTTATTTCCTTCTTTATTCTGTATCTTTTTCATCAATAATTTGTACATTTGGCATCCTTCACTCAACAACCTGTCCACTGCACAATGGAATCCAATTCATAGTGCAACCCTACATTCCTATAAACTGCTCATTCCCTCACTCAATGTCACATAAAGGAGTAGTAGATGTCTCATGTCGTCGACTTCAGGGCCCTAGCATCGAAAGAGGAATATTTTATATTATTTATCAAAGCTGTTATTTTGTTGTTATGCCATATCTTCATCAATTCTTCATCAAATCCTAAAATGTAGCCATAATTTTGAACGTTTCCTTCTCCTTCAGTTGAGAAAAATAGTCATAGTTCCTGGAATTTCAGGAGAAAAAGTTATAAATGAACTTTATTTTCAAATAAATCAAAAATTATGCGCTTTTTTGTTGATTACACCCATGGTTATTTTAAAAAAAATTAGCAAAATTGGACAATTATTAGCAAAGAAACAGCTTATTGAAATTTGTTAACATGTTGGTTCAAAAATGGATGGAAAAGTTTTTGATTAATTTTCATTTTATGATACATTGCATTATTTTATTATCTTATTAATTTGTCATTTGTTCGCTGAACAAAATACTGTGAGAATCACTCATACGGGCCAACTGGAATAGAATATTTTCTCTATAAAATTATAAATATGAAATTCAAGAATATTTTACTTTTTCACAGCTGTTAGTTCACATATCAACTGCTTTCTGCCATTGCGAAATGGACATTATGGAAGAGCAGACGTACCCGCCTTCTTATGATCCTATGGATATCATCCAGTTGTCACATTGGCTCCCTGAAAATGTCTTAGAAAAGATAACCCCTGAGTGAGTATTTTATTCTTATTATTAATCAAGATTAATTTTTCAAACATCATAACAATTTATATTAATCATGGAGAAGCACTTGTGATGGATAAATGAATTATCCAATATAATTTCGGCACCCAGAGACTATTTTTATTCAAAGAAACAATGATGTTGGTAAAATGATGAGGTCTCATAAAAAATAGATAAAATAAAATATATGAGATTGTAAATGGTAATTTTACACACACTTTTCATCCTTTTTTTTTTTTAATAATAAAATTAAGAATAAAAAAGTAAAAACATACTGACAATACAGACTAAACAATATTGCCAGTATTGCTACCCAAATGATGACAAATGTGCTCTGGTTTAGACACATTAGTATTCCAGCCAGAATTATATATAAATATAAATGTGATAACTGCGGAAGATATTTGGGCCCTTTGGAAAATACTCTGAATATAGAATAATAACGAACTTTGAGTTGAAAAAGCTATTTTCTGAATTGGGTATAGTGCAAGTTATTAAAAAAAGACTGGACTGGCTTGGCCGAGTCGAAAGGATGTCCACATTGAGATTACCTTAACAAATGTAGTATTGTCATCCCAGAGATCCTCGAAGGAGAGGTAAGCCTCGCCAATGAAGGACGGATCTTGTGGAAGGGGATCACAGCACCAAGGCTATGGATAAAGCAGTTTTTTTTTTTTTCTAGTCCAATACAGTTTTGCTCTCCGAGCATAAGGGCTGTCCATTTCATTAAAGGAACATCTTATGTCCTGTAATGCAGGGCATGTATCAAGATGTTCTCCTGTCATCATGTCTAAGGAACATAGAGGGCATGTCGGGCTATCTTTTACACTGATGCGGTGGAGGTGCTTCTGAAGGAAATTGTGGCCTGTGATCATTCTAAAGCATGCCACAGCTTGCCCTCTAGAGAGGTCTCTCGGGATCCTGACACTTTCTTCGAGCAATCCTCTCCATCGTTTCCCTTCAATTGTTTGTACATATTTCTCCTTCAGTGAACTTTGGAGGGTCTGTCATATTATTCTTTTTGTTGAATCCATGCCAAGAGGAATATCTGGTTGGATCATTCCAGAACCAGATGGTATCCACTGGAAAGCGACTTCTGTCCCATTTTCCTTTAATCGGTTCAAATATTGATGGCATTTAGGAACATTTGGATTTATATTATATCCATTTTGGAGAGACAAAATGGCTGCCTGTGAGTCAACAAAGAAAGCAACTTTCTTGTCTTTCTGTTCAACCAATCTCTCAAGGCCTAAAGAATGGCTTTCACTTCCCCTTCAAAGTTTGTGGCTACCTTTCCGACCGGGGCGGCAAGTTGAAACTCCTTTGAATAAACTCCAACTCTGGCATGTTTGCATGCTTCCAGTGCATAGCCATCAGTATATACATGGAGCCATTCTGTTTCTGGGAATCGTTTTCTGATAGTTTCTAGGGTTGTAGCTTTTTGTTCGTAAATTCGTGTTGTATCCTTAGAAACATTCTGAAGAAGATCACAGTGAACAACAAATTGGCTGGTGAATGGAAGTTTTGTCAATGACGGATAAAGCTGATGGAGCTTAATAAACCATAATGCCATGCAGTGAAATGTGTGACAACTCTGTTTTCTAAATATATTCCTCTATTGATTCAAATTTATTATATTTATATTGTTTATATTTAGTAATTGTCTGTATTAAAACGTACTTTGATTGATTATTTCATTGCAGCTTGCTAAAACCTCATCCCAATTCATATACATTTTCGAAGCGGCTAGCGGAAGCTGTAGTCGCCAGCTACTATCCTGAAGTACCGTCTTGCATTCTCAGGCCTTCGATAGGTAAATACATGCTTCAACTTTACTGAAAGTTTACTTTGATTTATACACCTATGAAAATTTAACAATATCATGACTTGATTATAGACAAAAAAGGACTGATTAATTATTGAGCATAAAATGAATTCCTAATCAGAATGGCTAGAAGATCTCTATGTTAAATGCTGATCAAGAGATCTAATAAGAAAAATTTTTAAAAAGTTGGCTCAGTGCTAATTAACTTTTTAGATTATTTTGTTACTTAGCCTAACAGTTTTACATGCTCATTTTATTCACGATAATACTATCTCTTCAATTTTCGTTTACTGGATATAGTTCATGCATTTCAACATTCTGCAGCCATATTAATTGTCTTATCCTTCAGTCTGAATATTTCATGCCATGCTTTATTTCAAAAAGTAAACTAATGGTCTTGATTTTCCTTTTATTTAAGCATCATATCATTTATATCATAAAGAGAAAAGAGAACTACAATAAAGTACCTTAAAGTCCTGATCCTGTTTGTTGGTTTCAAATCTGATTGTGGGATCCTCTATGAGTGTCTCCTTTTTCTTTGCACTGAATGCTAAAATGTCAATGAGCCTTGTTGAACCTTCTGTATCCAGGCAATAACAAGGACGATTGATCAAGTGAATTCTATGTTTTAAGGTTTAGGACAGAAGACACGAACTAAGTAATTTTGTAATTAAAAAATGACAGGTATTGTCAATCTATAACCTACCTATTTCTACCATGAATACTGTGACAAAAGTTGAACTTTGTTTACATCTTTGGGTATTATTTAGATAATCCTTACCTCTATCAGGTTATTTTCTTTACATGTCAGAATAATAATCCCTACTAGTTCGTACTTTTCTTTCGCTCAGGTAACATGGAGTAGGGTGATAAAGAAAACCGAATCGCCTTACACAAAGTTGGAAAATGTAGATCTGAGATTTTCAAAAACTTGAAGCCTTTGGGTATCAGCTGTATGTTCGTGGACCGCACAATAAATAGATATAATGAGACCCTATCTGTATGTGACAGACCTCGACTGGGTCTGTCCCCACAGTGTGAGAACGGTAAATGCAGTGCGAGCAGTTGCTGCTCAAATTGGAAGAAATCCGATTCGAAAACAACAAATCATGTCTCGGGAAATGGTAATCTCTGTCAGATCAATGTCTCGCATAATAAAAAGTAACCTTAGGATGAGTGTATTTCGACGAATGACAGGACAAAGGCTAACCACTTCTCTAAAAAAAATTAGAGCGGGTAGATGCAAAGTGCTCCTTGGCCATTAAACCAATGGTCTTCATCGAAAGATTTTGTTTAGCGATGAGAAAATTTTTACAATTGAAGACAAATTTAATAACACACACAGCACTAAAGAAGCCGAGGAAGTCATTGGAAGAGCGGAAAGAGGTCATCATCCTTTCTCGGAGATGGTTTGGTGGGGAGTTTGCTTTGGGGGCACTACAAAGCTCCATTTTTGTGAAAAAATGAGTTAAAACAGCAGCTAAAAACTACGACGATAGGACAATGTTTTGGAACCTGTTGTCAAGCCTGTAAGTGATATTCTGTTTGCTGCAAGTCATTCAGTTTTCCAGCAGAATTCCGCTCCAGCTCACAAGGCCAGGTCAACTCACCAACCAAGTGTTGGATGGTATAGTGAAATATAGAAAATTAATGTGTAACACCAAAAAAAGTATTATATTTAAATATAGATATGTCAGTAATTGTAATTTTTGACAATTGGTACCACATTACAAAATCAAGTAAATATAAAGGAATCTCTGAAGATGGGAAAATTATCCCGAAATGTCAAAAGTGATTAAATAAAGATTAAAGATAAAAATGAAAGTTTAATTGCCTTAACCTTAAAAATTAAAAACTATTTATGTTTATAAAGTGACCAAACCTACTAGAACCAACTTGTGCTGATAGTTGGGATTGTAATAATCTAACAGTCTTAGCAGAATATATTAATACTGGTATCTATTTTAACTAATCATTTTTATTTTCAATTTTAATAGTGATTCCCACCTGGAAGGAACCAATGGAAGGTTGGGTGGACAATCTGAACGGACCAATCGGAATCCTGATCGGTGGCGCCAAAGGTGTCATCAGGTCGATGCACTGTTTTATTGAATATAGTGCAGAGCTTATACCAGTCGACATGGCTATCAACGGCATCATGGTTGCCATTCCAAAATTTGTAACAAACTCTTCTGAAAGGTATTTAAAGTTATTTCATTTAATATTATGAAGTAAATTATTTAACATAATTGTAATTTAAAATTATCATACCAGCACTGATAAGTTATATGATACTTGCTCCGAATCACTTCTCCAAGATGGCAATCATATTATTAATCACAAATAAAATAATTTTATATATTATCTATATAAAATATGTTTTCCACCATCATAAAAACAAACTAAGACAATTTTTTTTTTTTTTTAAGTTTTTCTGCCACTACTTAGATTTAATTTCATTACTACATTTAATTTTTCAAAAAATATTTTTAACACTAATAAGTTGAAAAGAAAACTGAAACATTTCTTAATATAAGTTTGACTGCATTTTTATAAAATTTTTATGAAGATTTTCCTATTTCTTTTAAATAGCTGTTTCGATGTCTATTGTTAATTAAACCTATTTTTATGTTAATACATTTTTTTCTTTCTTTCACAAACGGCCTTTTAAGATTACGCGATTATCATTACTATTCCTTTCTCATTTTCCAGTATCTTCTCATCATTTCTGCATGCCTTTGCTTCCTCTCTTGCGACCACGCAGTACCTTTTCTTTATTTTCCACAAGAACCTTGATTTCTTTCAATTTTTTTCTGTATTGCTCCCTATCCAGGCAGTCTTTGTCTGTTATTTTCAAATTTTCTGTTTCCTCTTTCATTTATTTTACATATCTTCTTACGACCTTATATTCACAGATTCTGTCAAAGACTTTCTATTTTAGTCTCCCTTGGTCCATTCTTATCATGTGCCCGTATAATCTTAGTCTTCTGATCTGGGTCTTATATCTAGATAGATTTCCTGGCTTGGTTTTAATCTGTAGCCTTCCTGTATCTTCTTGGGCCCATAGATTCTCCTCAGAATCCTTCTCTATATTTTGAATAATTTTTCTAGCCTAGGGAGACATGTTGTCTCCATCCCGTACAGAATTACTGGTTTTATCACCTTGTAATGTCTTATTTATGTTTTGGTAAATATTTTATTATTACCAAAAATTTAGTGGGCGGGGTGGCCGAATGGGCTAACGCGTCCGCACTGCACTGCCGTTGCCCGGCAACCTGATATATAAGACTTTGATAAAAAAATAGTCACGAGTTCGCATCCCGGTGCCCGGAAGAGTTTTTAAATCCCCGCCATCACTCCCTGGTCCGGGAAAACCCCCGTATAGCCTAGAAGGCGAGGAAGGGGAGGACAAAAAAAAAAAATTACCAAAAATTATTTTTATTTTTATTAAATTAGATATTAGTTTAACAGTAAAATAAAAATTGTTATAGTTTAAGGTAAATTTTTGGAGAAAATAAAAAAACTGAATGGATCACAGCTTAATATGACTAACCAAATAGATTAAGTTTTATTTTATAATTGTTTAATTTTATACTCTAGAGTGTGTTATCTCCTCTATTTCAACAGAAAGTGTTGTATATAAGTTTCTTTTAATATGTCTTTGTCGAGTGCATATGGCCAACCTTTTTACAATGTTGAAATTTTAATGTAATGTCAATTTTACACAAATTCTTAGGAAATTGTTGCACATTCTGAAATAAAAATTAAGATAATGAAATTAATCGTATTTCTTATAAAATATATTTAATAAAATTAATTTTTCAATAGGCCGAAAGACATTCCAGTTGTAAACTTGACACAAAGTGATACGTACGTTGTTACTTGGGGCGATATGCTTGAAAAAGGAAAGGAGATTGCTTTCCAGTATCCTTTCGAAACAATGCTTTGGTATCCGAACGGAAGGCCGTACAAGGTGAAGCTGTTCCATGATATTTCAATTGTACTTTTTCACTGGATTCCAGCATACGTCATAGACTTCTTACTGTTGATATTTGGCCAAAAGAGATTGTAAGTAAATTAGCATACAGTAAATTTAAGTTAATATTAATTGTTTCTAAGAACTTTACCTTATAATTAACTTGAAAAAGAGTTTGTGAAATTGTTAGTAGGTTTCAGAGTAAATGATGCTGATTTCTATTATGTTAATAACATGTTTGGAGTCCATTAGTAAATAAACCGTTTTGGCGGCAATTGTAATTATTCCTTCCGTTTTGTCGGGGGCTAGGTGTTATTTACACTTGTTAATTAAATTTTCATTAAAACAAAACCCCAGCACTGAATATAGACTTTTTGAGGGTGTTTAACTGTCGTTGGGAATTCGAGAACCTAATGCTTTTGTGACAATGAGTGACAAGAAATAATAAGAATATAGATGTATATGAAATATAGGACTGAGTAAATACACTTTAAATGAATTGACTCACCTGGTTTGTTATTCTTAAATTGTGACGCCTATTGCACAACTAAATAAATAAATGACTTTTCACTCCTATCTAACAAAACAATTTATTTTTACAACTGTAATAAGTGAATCTGTCAAAGTCTTATAACTTTAGGCTTGATCTTCTTAATCTTCAATGCACCTCTTCAGGTAACCTCCTTTCTTCGTGTCCCAGACTAGAGTGCCTTCTCTTCTCTCCGGCGTTCTTCTCCAGCTGTTGCTACCTGCTCCGTCCTTTTTCAAACTTCTTCCTTCTTTGCCGATTGTTTATCGATATGAGGCTTTTCAATAAACAATTTGTCCACTGCACAATTGAGTAGATAGTGCAGCATCACATTCATATATATTCCTTCTCATTCCCTCACACGTCACATAAAGGAGTAAATACTGGGACTATCTGCTACAATTATTTATCAAATAACATAACTCACAATTTTAAATAAATAATTAATCATTTCATAATATATTTTTTTAAATAATTAAAAAATAATTAATTATAAGGTAACGTTTTTGAATTATTAAAAAAAAAATGAAATGGTTAATTATTTATATAACATTGTAAGTAATGTTATTTCCTAAATAATAGAAATCAGCATTATTTACTCTAATGACCTATGAAACCTAATGACAATTTCACAAACTCTTTTTCAAGTTAATTTTGATAAATATGATGTTTTATTTTGAAATGAATATTTTTTTAGAATTTAGTATCAAAAACAAATATTTCATCCCATAAAACATATATATAGGGGCAGGGTAGCTGAGTGGGTGGATGCTCACTTCCAGAGCTCAAGTTCCTAGCTTTGAATCCGATTAATGTCTAGTAATTTTTCATTAGCCTTGCATTAACCCTGGGTTCAAGAGACCCTCCTAAGGCACTTCAGTATCTATAAAATGGGTACCTTTAATTAAAACAATAATTAAGGGTGAAAATCTGGCGGTTGAACGTGATATCGGCCCCATGACCTCTCTGCACAACCGTTGGGTCTTGAAACTATACTTCCTCACATAGTACTGCATCCTAAACCATTCATAGGTTGTAGTGGCACAAGTTTTTAAAATATACAGTCGTAGATATAGAAATTGCATCACCTATTTCTTTTGATTATTACGTTAATAACGTTGATTCTATTGAATGATTTTGTTTTTCTTTACTTATTTAGGTTACAAGAAAACTTTAACAATGTTTCTCAGTTCAGTTTTAACTAATGCCATGATAAAATCTGTAATTACGACCAGTTCTGTCATCATCAGAAAAAATCAAAATTGTGATTTTACATGAAGTGAAAGAATTTTTATGAGAAATAGTAACGAGGATAGAGTACCACTAATCAACGGTAATCATAATTTTGAAAAAAAAAAAAACACTGACTGAAATTTTCGTTAAAGGAGGGAGTGTGTTTATTACAAGGTAATGCTCACCTTCACACATTTAACTTCAATCAAGCGCTTTTGAACTAATTTTGTTCAGAAATTTTGAACCACTCTGCATACTCTCTAATCTTGGCACCATCAGATTTTCATTTTCCTAAAGATTCTCGTGGTTTAAAACAAATTTTAACTAGTGAGAAGGTGAAACAAAGATCTTGAATTGGACAAAGGAGATGACAGGACTTTTATGCATAGAATGGGAAGACGACTACGTGAGAAAATAAGTAAAATACCTTCAATTCATGTAATTTAAAAAAATAAAATATAAAAATTGAGTATATTTTTTTTGAACATGCCTGATAGAACAACAAAATCATTGATAGCAAAGGTTATTTATATTTTAAATCTATTAATTGATAAAAAAAAAAATATATTCAATACCTTTGGTATCAGAGTACTAACACAAGAAGAAGAAAGACCAATAAAGAGCTGCTTACAGAAACTGGTCAATTATTATCTTATGATATGAAGGCATGAAGGTTAAGATGAGTGGGGCATGTAACTCGGGGCAAACTATCTGGAAGCCTCTACGTAACAATGAATGTCTCAATATTAGGCAAAAGACCTCATGGAAGGGTAAAAAGCAGATGGATAGATCAAATCAACAAAAATGCATAACTGTATGCAAATAACTGAAAAGAAATAGTCTAAGATAGGCAGAGATGGAGCAGGCTTGTTAAGGCGGCAAAAGATCTACATGATCTGTAATGCTAACAGAAAAAAAAATATTAAAAAAATAACCTAATAAAGGTTAAATGTAAATAATTTGTTTGGCGGGAATAGGCAAATAGCCTTCCGCTTTTATACACTGGGGAACTGGGTTATTTACACTCGTGATTATTAAAACAAAATCCTGGCACTGGATATAGACTTTTTGAGGGTGTTTAACTGTTTTTAGGAATTCGGGAACCTAATACCTTTTGTGACAGTGGGTGAGAAGAAACAATAAGAACATATATATATGAAATGTGGGATTTATTAAATACACTTTAAATGAATTGACTAACCTGGTTTGTTATTCTTCAATCGTGAGGCATAAGGGACAACTAAATAAAATCACTTTCACTCCTGTATAATAAAACAATTTATTTTATAACTGTAATAAATGAATCTATTAAAGTCTTATAACTGTAGGCTTGATATTCTTGGTCTTCAATGTAGTAAGCTTCTCTTCCCAAATGACGTCCTCTCACCTGCGTCTTTCTGCCTCAAGTCCGTCCTCCTCTCTTCTGGCAACCTCCTTTCTACCTGTCCTGGCCTAGAATGCCTTCTGTTCTCTTCAGCTTTTGCTACCTGTTGGGTCCTTTCGGTACCTTGTTCTATTTTGTTATTCTCAAGGGACTGTGTCCCAGAATAAAATTATTTTTCTATCTATCTATCTATCTACCTCCGACCTTGATCCTTCTTTATCGATTATCATCGATAGACCTTATCGATGAGAACCCTTCAATGAATAACCTGTCCACTTCACAACTGAGTACAATTCATCCTGCAACCTCGCATTCCTTCTCATTCCCTCACACAATGTCACATAAAGGAGTAAATACAGGGTGCTGTCTACTACAATATATTTAATAAAAGTGTATCTATTAGTACCTATGTGTTTTATATAGTAATTGTACAATGTATAAAAAACTATTCATGTATTATTTATTTATTACATATCACATATTTATTTATTACAGGATTATAAATTTAAATAAAGAAAAATAATGTTATTTTTTGTTTATTTCAGCATGATAAGAGTTCAAACAAAAATTCAAGCTGGGTTAGATGTCCTTCAATATTTTACAACCCGTGAATGGAAATTTAAAAATGAAAAATTATTAGCACTTCGCTCATCTCTCAACTCATTTGACCGAGAAAAGTAAGTTTTGACTGTTTAAGAAATAATTAATAAATAGATATCGCTTCTTGATAATTTGATTTTTGTATCAGTTTAAGTAAACTTAATTATCTCGCCAACAATTTTTGTATTATTGTATATATTCTTCATGTTTAAGATGATAATTTTAAAAAATAATGAAAAAGCTTCAGTTCTTTGATATAATTATAAAATTTTCCAAAGTATATAAATATTCTTCAAAATAATATTATTCCAAGTGTTCTCATAACATTTTTGACACCAAACTAGTTTAGTTTAGCAATCTATAGTATGACAAAAACATTATTATTTTTAGTTCCTTTAACATTCAGGCTTCATCTCTGTGTTCCAATTTCTAACAATCAATCTTGATTGATCCACCCATGTTAATTTAAATTGTTACTCTTTATAATCTTTTTTATCCTGAAAATTTTTAACTTAAAAAACTTATTAGTAAAGTACGGTATAAAGGAGGCAAAAGTAAACAAATCAAAACTGAACAAACAATAGTGCAATTCCAAACAGTGAACTGAATTATAATACCAACAATTTTTTTTAAAAAATTGGAGAAAATTGTCAAAAATTAATTACACATTTGTAAAAATAAAGAAAGAAACAAGATAAAACGCAAAATATTTATTTTATTAAAGATAAACAAAAACCAAAGTTTTGATTTTGAAATCAAACAGATTCTAAATATTGTTAAATATAAAAAAAAAAAAAAATAGAAGAGACTATAAAAATAAATAATTTTATTTTTTAAAAAAGATCCTAAAAGTTTAAATAACCATAGTGCACACATAAACAATAGTTTAAAATAAATATTTTAAAAAAAAGTCACATAAAAATTGTCATATTTATAAAAATCAATAGTCTGTGATCAAAAATAAATATATAAATATAAGAGAGAGGGGATGATATAGCTAAAATAGGGATTAGTACAAAATTCAAACTCAGATACCTAGAGGCAAGATGCCAGTGAAACAACATCCATCTCAATTATTTTTTTAAAAATGTATTTTAGTTTTAATTATAATTTTAACCAAGTTACAAATGTTTATCATGAACTGTTATGACAACGAGATGGTTGTTGAGCAAGTTTTTTTATTATAGATAGCAACTACAAATTATATTAAAATATATAAATTTGTACCTGTATATAAGTAGAGTTATTCTTAATAGCATATTTAAATAATTGTAATGTTACTAATAACAGAATAAATTGTCCTGAAAGATGTGTTCAAAACCTGAAACTAAGGCATCATAAATAAATAATTGCCAATGAAAGAGATGCGTTCAATTATAAAAACCTTAGAAACAATATAACTCTTCTTCATAGATTATATGTACAAAAATATAATGGTTTTGTATTAACCTGTTTGATACATTTAGTTGTCAATCTATCTATCATTTAGTTTCCAATTTATATAATACTAAAAGACATTTTATAAACTTTTAGAACCTCAGAGATATTATTAGAATATAATGTTTAACTAAGGAATATAATGTTTAGGTTTACTTTGGATTTTGAAAAGATTGACATGAAACAGTATATGACATCAGCTATTCTTGGAGCTAGGCATTTCCTCTTGAAAGAAGATCCAAATTCCATACCAAGGAGTCGTATGATTCTTAAACTGTAAGTTTAATTGAATTCATCTTTCTAATTGATTGGAATCTGTTGAATAATTTCATACTTATATTCTAATATTATATAATAATAAATAATAATAAAAGGCTTAGCGAACCTGAAGGTCGATACCGACACCACCAATCGCTTATTACATACCTCCTTCCACTAGTCGCTGTCCAAATCGCTGTGCAATGCAAATGGCATGCAACACTGTGTTTCATGGCATGAAACACTGCTAGGGTTTCAACTGCCTCCCGCAGTGCTACATCCTACGTCTTGATGAATACCTGCAAAGTGGGTCAAAACGTCAGCAAAAATTAAATAATTCTACTTGTTTAATTTAGTATTAATTTGACCAAACCCTCTGATCAACTCCTTCTCTTATAAATATTTATGTATAATATGTCTTTGAAATGTTTAAGAGCTTAGAAACAACTATAGTGGCTCACAGTGAAATTGATATACCCCTTAGAAAAATAGAAAAAATATTTCAGTGGTTACAGTAAATAAATAAAACCAGAAACTCTTGAAGATATTTATTTATAATCTCATTTTAAGTATGTACAAATCACAACGTATAACATTTACACTTTGACGTGACATATGCCCACCAGTTTATATCAGTGACAACCAAATTCTTCCGACAGACACTGTACGTTATCTCGGATTAATATTTGACAGATGGATGACCTGGGGCCCACATGTCAAAATGAAATGAAAGACTTCGAACAAGCGATTGAAAATACTGTACTCACTTTTTTCAGAATCAAAATTAAAAATCAGACAAAAACTTAATACATACACTTAACTACTCAAAGCGATATTGACAAATTCACAGTTCTGCAAAAAAGATGCACTACAGGCATTTCAATTCAAATTTTTACGACTTATAACAGGAGCTCTTTGTTATGTAAACAACAAAACTTTACATAACAACTTATGACAACCAACACATACATAATCTCTACTCCAGATTTCATCTTAAACTACACGGAAATCACAAAAGACTTATTAACGACATGCCCATCAGGAGATGACTCAAGAGGAGCTGGATGAGAGATCTCCTTTCCAGAATTAAATAAGTAAACCAAGACCAAGAAGAGGTGCTGCTGTGTACTATTTTTTTCTCATGCCTAAAATGCCAATTTTCTTATAAGTTACAGCCCATCTGCTTATTGTCAAGCTTATAACTTATAGCTTATAATCCATATAGGTGCGAATGGAAATATGATGAAAAAAAAAAATGTAAAAACTCAATAAAATTAAAATATTCAACTGTTTTTGTTTTTTAAAAAAATATTACTATTCTAATGATACACCTCACTTCTAATTAATATTTAAATAGTATTAATTTAGTTCAACATCTTGTAGGCAAGCCATTATTTTCTACCACTCCTTTCAGTCTATAACACTAGCTGATCCAGCCGGGGGGAGGGGTGCCCCTCCCCTCCTGGAAGAAACATAGATAAGAAATATTCATCCTCATAGACGAATTTCCTAATGTAATAAAAAAAAAAAAAAATCATCGTGACCAGCACTAGCGAATTCTGCCTGGGGCGCACTTGGATAGTATAGTCTAATATATAATATTAAAAAAAAAAAAATTATCAGATGTTAGCAATTTTGCTTTTGACATGTCTAAACTCATACACAGGGTGTCGTGTAAGTTAAGAGAAATATTAGAGGAGTGATAGCAGAACTCAAGAACTACAATAAAGTTTATATAAACAGGAAAGTAGAAAATTAAAGTTTTGTGATTTTTTTAACTTAGTCAAGTTTTTTTTTTAATAGAGAGTGATAAATAAAAAACTGTTTAATTTAAATAATTAACAATTGCTTCACTATAAACTAGACGATTTCACATAAGTCTACATCACTTTCTGGCACTATATGTTTCAATTCGGTGAATTTATCTTTGGTTAAACCGTCTGCGTTCCAAAAGATAGCTTTGAGTTCAGCCTTGCCTAAGTCTTTTGAAAGCTTGCGAGCATTTGGTCGTTTTTGATAGGGTCTGGGCATGTTTTGCTTTGTATATTGGGCTGAGTTGGCAATAAATGTGATCGTTTACTTACCGTGTTTACGGGTTATCCAGGTGGCACGTGGACTAACTGTCCGGACGCGATCACTTCACCCTTTAAATAGTTTTTATTTTATTTTATAACTGGCCAGAATAGGTTCTGGAATGATCCAACCAGATATTCCTCTGGGCGTGGATTCAACAAAAAGAATTATAAAACAGACCCTCCAAAGTTCACTGAAAGAGAAATATGTGCGAACAATTGAAGGGAAACGATGGAGTGGATTGCTCAAAGAAAGTGGAAGGATCCCTAGAGGGCAAGCCGTGGCATGCTTTAGAATGCTCACAGGACATGATTTCCTTCAGAAGCACCTCCTCCGCATCGGTGTAAAAGATAGCCCGACATGCCCTCTGTGTTCCTTGGATATGATGACAGGAGAACATCTTGATATATGCTCTGTATTACAAGCATAAAATGTTCCTTTAATGAAATGGTCAGCCCTTATGCTCGGAGAGCAAAATTGTATTGGACTGCAAGAGCACGCATGATTGATAAAGCAGGCGTTACTTAGGCGTAGGAAAAAAAAAACTATAAACTAGACAAAATTTACTTTAAATAAAAATATAATTTGCTTTTCTTAAAACCATTAATAGAGGGCTTAAGAGTGGCTTAGCTCAGCTAAGGAGTGGGAGTGGTGGGAGGAGATGGGTAGTGGTGGGGGAAGCACCTGGTACAGAGGTGATACAGGGAACCCCCTGAAAAAATTCCTGGATTCGCCAGTGGTCTATAATGGAGTCGACCTATTTTTTGTTGATTTCAGGCTTAGCCTGTTCCATTCTTCAAGAAGATATTCTTCGAGAAGTTGTCTATAGTAGAAATTTTGTGTTTTCTAATTTCTACCTTGAATTTTGGCCACAGATGTTCTGTCACATTAAGATTTGATGACTGGTAACTGTGGTGGTGTTTTTATAACTTTGAGGCAGTTATAAAGCAGCTACTCCTTAATTAACTTGGCTGAGTGTTTGAGGTCATTATCCTAATAAAAACAAAATTTGTTTTTTTAACTTTTTTTTCTTTAAAGTTTCTCCTCAAAATTTCCATGTAAACATGTTTATTCACTATGCCATGTGAATATTTCCACTATAAAATTAAGATTTTTCAAACCAGAATCCACCGTACACCTCCACACTAAGAAACATAACATAAGAAAAAGAAAAAGAACATAAGAAAATAAGACATTACTAGGATATTTATTGATAACAATAAATTATTGTCTTTTAATGAAATTTAAATTGAATTATTTATTTATTAAGTAATTTTTATCAATATCCAGGTGTATCATCTTGACTGTGAGCCACTGTATATCTAACGTAAAAAGTCATAAAATAATGGAGAGTAATGAAAAAATTATAAATTATATTTTATAATTATATTATATAGGTAATGATAAATTATGAGGATTTGCTACCAGGTGAGTAATTATGAAACTACATTTTTGTACAAAAAATACATGTTCATTACATAACATATGTTAATAAATATTTTGTCTAATGTTGTCTATTATACATATACATATTTCCCATCTCTCTGGCAATTTATAAATGCCATGCCTGAAAAATTGTTACTTTTGTACTAAACCAGTCACAAAGCCATTTTCGTACATTTTAAAAAGAAGTGAAGAGCTGCTGAGCAAATAAATGCCCCATCGAGACAAATAAATGGTACTCGAAATGAATCAAGACTGGTGAGTAAGCTGCATGTGCTAACATTTCCCAACTGAATGCTTCAATCTTTTTCTTCACAGATTTTTCTGTGTGGGATGGGTCATTATCATTTATCAAAATCACTTTCTGTTGTCGTTTTGATACACTAGTCCTTTGTCAGTATTCGATTCAAATCGATCATTAGTTTTAGATAGTGTTCAATATTAACGGTTTATCCAGGTTTTAGCAGATCATAATAGATCAAACCCATTTTCTCGTAATAATAAAAATTGAAGAACCATGGGAACTTGAACAAAGTAGTGATTGAGTGCAATTAAAAAAAAAAAAAAAAAAATTATATTTCAAAAAATTTCACAAAGCAGAGTTTATAACACACACACAATTTAATTCTAACTAATAAATAACATCTGTTTTTAATGACCTTTCATAACAACAGTGCTGCCTGCAATTAAAAATAATACATTTCACACTGTAACATAAAACATTCAAACGTTCATAGTTAACAAATTCATCTTAACAAATTCTCGAACACCCATGTTCCATGTCGACCCCTAATAGCTCCATTGTGCGCCAATTTCAGTTAGTCGCTTTAATCAAAACGTTATTCTAGTCGCTTCCGCGTATCTAAGTAGGCTGGTTGGATTGACCTTCTCATGTCTACTTAGGAGATCCATTCGTTCCTTCCCAAATACTACCAGCCTTAGCCTTGTGAATTGATCACATCTACACACAATGTAAAAGGCTGTTTCATTTAGAAGGCTGTTCCACGTTCTTCATTCTCATGTCGAAATCCCCTCTTTTGAATTTTTCCAACTACTTAAAACACTGTAATTTATCAAGAGCATGCTCACCGTAAGCTTCGACAAGTATTTGATGTGATTAATGCTGTTATCAAATCATAGTTTGTAGGCACGAAACTCAACATTTTCAACACTATTAAAAATTGCTATTAAACTTATATTGTAATGAATTGAAAGTATTTGCCATTTGTCGAAGAAACAAAATGATGCCAATAATGCGGTTTAAGGGTAACTACATTGACACACCTATAGCTCTCTATGTACGAATTCATGTTTCTTATTTATTCACCTGCTATGAATCTCATTAATATTTGTTTTTAAAATCACAATATAGTTTTAAAATGTTTTATTTTCCAGGTTGTATGTTCTGGACAGAATGGCTACCGTAACATTTTATGTACTTCTGGGCTGGATCTTAGTTTCCTGCTCGGACACAGCTGCTGCAGCTTTGGATTCTGCTATTTCAGCGGCACAATCTCTTTTACCTTTCTCACGAAATGTGGAGCAACACCTTACTTGATTCAAAATAAATATGGACATCACAATTTCTCTTTAAAATTTTATGTTATTTTGTCTATTCTCTTAAGTGTACCTCAATTTACATATTTACTGAAATAATCCTAGTTGTTTATTTCAGTAAAATACTTATTGTATTATTGAAATATGAAATGTATTAATGATATGAGCTCTTTTATTAAAAAGAACATTGTAACAGGTAGAGTTCTAAGAGAAGTATTTTTGCATGAGCTCAGGAAGTAATCACAATATATTATTGATATAATTAAAATTCACCTATTTTCAATATGTAATAATTATTACAACTGTCCCATTGTTACAACACCTTATTTAATAATAACAGATATTGAAATATGCTATACTCAGTTTAAACAGGTGTAGAAAATAATTCATTATTATTTTAAATAAATGTCTTCTAAACTATCAATTATGTTGAAGCTAATCATTTTAATTTTTTTTTTTTTAAACTCTACATTAAAAAAAAATGTAAAGAGCAACAGGAATAATTTAAGGCTGGTATATTTGTGTATATACATAGATAGGGTAATAATATACCAACTTTCATATTACTCTTTATGAATTTTGGTGTAAAAATCTCACACTTACAAAAATCAAAATCATTTCATTCCAAAATTTTAAGACTATAACAGCATCTCCCTGTTACGTAAGCAACAAAACTTTATATAAAGATTTACAACAACCAAATATCGACCAACACATACATAATCTTTACTCCCAAATTTCATAATAAAATACATAAACATAACTACAGACATGGCCACGACTGACATGGCCATCATGAGATGACTAAAAAGGAGCTGAATGAGAGATCTCCTTTCCAGAATTAAGAAAGTGAATAAAGACCAGGAAGAGGTGCTGCTGGGTACTATTCTTCCTCAATAGAAAAATAAAATAAATAAATAAAATAAAATAAAAAGGAATAGCAAAATAAAATTCATTAAAGCGTTACATGACTGTATTATTTTGCTGATGTATGTAATAATAAGAAAAGTGTTTAGCTAACTAGTCCATCAAACATTTATATTGCCAAATATATATATTTTCTTGAAAAACTTTAAAATTATTTTATAATGATTTAAATGCTTTTTTTTAATAAATAAAAAGATTATTTTTTCTTCTTTTTTTTTTTTACATTTAAGCAATCTGTCATTTTCCTTATTCCATGAATATCAGCTGCAGTAGTTATGTAAAAAAATGATAATCTATCAATACAATGTAAGTATGTACAATCTAAAATAATTGCTAAAGTAATTAATGATTATAAAAAAGTTCATTATGTATTTAATCATTCACAATTTTATTTAATCCGAAACTAAAAAGAAAAGCGTATAACAAAGAAGTAGTTTGTCTATATTTATATCATTGTAATAAATGTGTTTTTTAGCAAGGCTTGGAAAGGAAAAAAAAGTTATAGTTTCAAAGAGTTGCGGTATCATCGGAATGATTGTCAGTAGTTTTCAGTTCTTTTGGAACTGAATTTTTTCCCTTACAATATTTATTTAAAAGTACTGTCAAATTTTTCTAAAATTAAATTTTACATTAAAATCATGTGTAATTCATTTTAAAAAAATATAATTCTAATCTATGGCCAATTACAGTTTATTTTTCATTTAACACAACTTTTGTTATGAACTTGAATAGATATAAGTTAAATTTTAACTATAAATATGGAACTTTATATTACAAAAAAAACTTCCTTAAAACTTTTATTTAAGGCATTTTTTTCTAAAAAGGTTTCACAAAAACTGTTAAAATATAACTTTTTCTCTAAAAAGATACTCAAAAACTATTAAAAGGGAACATTTTAACAAAGTTTGAATCTCTGGTTTTTAGGATAGAAATGGAAGATTCAAAAGCAAAATTCTCCAGTCTCTTAAGTACCAGTTAATAACAAAAATAGTTTATACAAAATTTGCAATCTGCAAATTGCCTTACTATAAGCTAGTTTTGTTGATTGCATAGAAAGTGTCTCATTATGGGATAAAAATTATCTCAGCAGATTTCTTGGCTACCATCTCTAAGATTGTGGTCAATGAGGAACCAGCAAAAAAATTTGTCCAAAAGAGAATAGGGAAATTTTTTATATTTCTTTCAAGTAGGTGGTGTACTCTTTTTCATAATTAGTTTAAATGATTTTCACCTTTTATTAGGTTACTCATTTGTCTAAATAAATATATATATATATTATAGAAAGATGGAATATAGAATAGTTGGTAAATAATCAGGAAGCAGTCATTTTAAGATTTTTATTGTTGCCAACATTTCAACCCAAGCATGTGGGTTATCATCAAGGCATTTCTCTAGTACTGAATCAACATGCTTGGGTTGAAACATCTGCTGTTAGAACCATGATGTTTTCTGAAACACTAATTTTTTGTTTAATTGATTGGATAAGGAAAATAGAGCCTTTAATGTAAAGATTAAAAAAGGATTTTTTTTAAGGAGTACTTCAACATCTTCAGTACTAGAGATATTCCCTTTTGGTGACCCACATGCTTGAGTTGAAACGTCGGCAACAATAATAATCTTAAAATGACTGCGTCCTGATTATTTATCAATTATGAGGTGTAGAAAACTTGACTAACTTTCTTCAAGAATTAAAAAATGGTATATAACCACTCTCGTTTTCATCTCAAACTACATGGACACACAAACAGCCTTATAAACGACATGGCCACAAATGACATGCCAAACAGGAGGAGACTAAAAAGAAGCTGGATGAGAGATCTTACCTAAATCAAGGAAGTAAATAACGACCAGGAAGAGATACTGCCCGGTATTATTCTTCCTCATGCCTATAATTTCAATTGTTATTTTATCACACTACAGCTGCTGATTGTCAATGCCATGACATGTGTGGATATATACCTAATGAGAAAAAATAATAATTTTAATTCCTAAATATTTAATAAATAAATGATCAACAAATTAGGGCCCATTTTTTTATCCCAAGAAAGATACCAAAAAAAATAAAGCTTTTAAAAAAAGTAGTTATGAAATTGTGTTTTTCTCCCAGATCACCATCAAAGAAATTGATATGTATTCATCAGTGACAAAGTTAATGTTTCTTACTATAATTTACGTTTAAAATAAAGAAACCTACTGGTTACTTCAATTATTTTCTTTAAAAATAACGTAAATATTAGGACTAGAAACATTAATTTTCAATCGAATTTGTTCTATTATTAGTACACATTAATTTATATGACAGAAATCTGGGAAAAAAGACAATTTTTTAACCATCTTACATAAAAAATATTTGAAAAATTATTATTTATAATTGTTTTTATTTTTATAAATAAAATGTATTTTTAGGCAATTATGTTTATAACAATACATCGCACATCACAGGAAAACATGAAATTAAATGTTTGCAATAGTTAATTTTAGTCATTTTTACAGAAAACACGGTTACTTTAAGGTGCTTGGAGAGGATTCCCATTCCCATCCCACATATATTATTACAGTAAGGCTCGAAATCGGTTTTGTACCAAATATAAGCTCCTGTCATGCTCAAATACCATGAATGGGGTACCATTGGATTCAGAATTCCACGGGGGTTAGCGAATCGTATTCTCCACTTTTTTTTTGTTTCTGAAATAAATAAAGTCGATACAAACATTTTGCTAGGCTTCAATACTGGAACGATATTAAGTCTGTAGATCGATACGGGACAAATTGGACCTTGAAGATTTTGATGCGTACAACAAGACTTCGGATCCTGCGTTTTTAACCTCAAAAACGTACTATTTTCGAGATAACGCAAGGCATAGGGTTCGCAACCTTATGTTAATTGTTCTACTGTCATTGGATACATGTGTCATTTCGTCGACTTGAGGTCTCTATGATCGAGAGAGGAGGAGTTTATATTATTTATCATGCTGTTTTGATCGGCAAGCCATATCATTGTTAATTTTTCACCAAATCTCAAGATCGAGCCACCAATTTCGAAGGCTTCCTTCTCCTTCAGGCTGGCAAAATAGTCCAATCACCCCGAAAATTCAGGCAAACAAGTTATGAAAGAAAACAAACTTCATTTGCGAATAATTAAAAAATTACACACTTAGTTATGACCATGATTATATAAAAGATTACTAAATTCCCTACAAAAGAAGAAAAAAAATCATCGAAATCGATTAGAAATTTTTCCATTTTTTTTTTTTCATTTCATTATTTTTTTTTCTCATTTTCGATTAATATTCATTAGAAGAGCTCTAAGAGGACAATTTTTAGCCAAGATACAGCTTATTGAAATTTGTAAACATGTTGGTTCCAAACATTAATGAAGTTTTAAATTAATTTTTCTTTCCTTCGTCGATTATATTTATCGATAAAGTAACAATTGATATCTTTATCTTTAGATATTATGCATTATTATATTTTCTTATTGATTTGGCATTTGAAAACAATATGCTGTGCGAATTTTTCGTACGGGCCTACTAGTATCACATAATTTCTTTACACAACTTCCAGATAAATCTCAATGTTTTTCTTAATAAACCTCAACTTAATTAATATTCACTTAAAGCTGAATAAATGAGGAAGTTTTTGTAAAAGTGGGGTAAATCAAGTACAGTTAAAGAAATAAAAATCACAAATAATTTATGACTATTTTTAAACGAAACTTAGCTGCGTTTGTCCGACCAATAGTTTCAAGAATGACAAACTCTACTTTCGTTTGAAGTAAATATTATTTATTTTAATATAGGGAAATGTTTAGTTACTTAAATCAAGTATATTTTATGTTATCGTTATTTTTAACGAAACTTAGCTATGTTTGTCTGCCCAAAAGTCCTCGGTAAATGGTTTTAAAAATGATAAACTCTTCATTTAAAGTCAATTTCATCTTGTTTATAATAAAGCAATTATTAATTATTTGAATTAAATATTTCTTTAGTTATTGCATTCAATTAAAAAAAAAGTGACTTGCTTAAAAAAACACAAATCTTAAATTTCCTTCTTTTCTGCTGAAAATTGGAAATTGTTTATACAACTTTTTTTAAACCACGATGTCTACTATTTAACTATTTCTCATCCACTAAACCATCAAATTCCTCTCGTATCCAATCTTTACAATCCAAAATCCTTC